ACGTAAGAAGATGCTGGATGACCTTGGGGACAGAAGAGGATACTGTCATTTGAAGGAGAAAGCTCTAGATCGCATTAAGTGGAGGAATTGTTTTGGAAGAGACTGTGGACCTGTCGTCTGACAGATTACTGATGATGATGAATCCTATACACAGTCGGTAGGACTCCCTGGACGGGGGATCAGCCCGTCGCAAGATCGCGGCCTACACATAGAACAAAACAAACCAGAATAAACGTACACAGACACCTATGCCTCGAGTGGTATCCGAACGCACAACCCCAGTGTTCGAGGGGCCGAAGACGGTTCATGCCTTAGACTTTGATCGGCCTTCGTTCCTTGTACTCCTTAAAGGAAAAGTAAAAACTCAATAAAATACAAGCAACCGCGGGAAACACTTTTTAAGGGTAATTATCCTAATTTGTAAGTCATGAAAGAATATAGACGAAACGCGCATTGAAACCTGATTGGCACTAATTGTTTCCTTAACACGCTGTATTTGTTGCCACAGCGTTTCTCTAAACCACCCACTGTCTTGCTCAAATCTTAGAGCAGCACTTGCTGCTTCACGGGAGGAGTTTGTTTCGAAACGTATTGCGTTACAGGGAGAAGATGGGCGAAAGTTACCGTGGAAATCTCGGTTCATGTTAATTATAAAGCATCAGCGTTTCATATTACTTTGAGACGGGATCCTCCTACTTTACCAATTTAATAAAAGGAAGTTACAATGTTAGGTAATCCGAAACTGTTAGCTGAAGTCACTATAAAATACCAAATAATTCTTCATGGTTGTAATAGATCTAAGTTATTAGGGGCTGAAAAGATAGCAGTATCTACATAACATATGAACCAAACACCGAGAAAATTAAAATACCGGTGACCATACATAAAAATAACAAAGAAATTTGACAAATGAGAAAATTCGCCAGGGTACATTTTAGCAAAACACATAATAGGTTTATTCAAAAACACATTAAAAATGCCTAACGTATGCAACATTAAAAGTATACAGTTACCCTAATAAATAAACTAAAAGAAATTACCATTAATGAAGACCTAATCTATGATCATTTCACATCATGTACAAGAACACTCCTATTAGAGAGGCTATTAGAATAATAAAAACTGCTTAAGCACTAACGACAAAATATCCACAAAACACAAGTAAGAACTAATGTTGCTAACAAAACCACAGGGTAAAACAATTTGCATTTCAACGAATAATATTATAAATAAAATAATAACATTGGGCGCACCCACTTGAGCCATCCTTGCTGCAAATTTTCCAGCATGCAGAATATAATCACATCATTAATTTCCTAACAAAGCATCACATTACTGATTATTACCGCTGCGTAGATAATATAGTATTAGTTTACAGCACACAGAACACAAAGATAGTATATGATGACCTAGCAAACTTTAATTCGATACATCCAAATATCAGATTCACTACAGAAGAAGAAACAGAGACAATCAAACTATTTAGATGTAACTACTGCAAATAAACATAACCAATTGCATTTCAATACATATCGAAAAATACAAAAGCATGCCTGATTATAAACAAAGATTTATGCCATCCATATCAACATAATAAACTACCTTTCAATAGGAAGATCACATATCCAATAAACAACAACAAACATAAGGAAATATAATTCATAAAAACAATAGTATATAATAGCCACTACCCACCACAAACAATACATGAAACAAAAATACAATAATGAGACACCATAAGAACCAAAAACAACTATGGGCTACATTTATGAATATTGGAAAACAGAGTTATAACCAAGGTAGTTAAGAAGAGAAACATATCAGTATAATCCAAAACCGTACGCACAATAAGAAAACAATCTAGGAGTATACGCAGTCTCACTGAACAAGGAGTACAAATAAACGAATCGTATACAGATACAAAAAATCCAATTTACAATGTAATACAGTACTAATTTTTTTGCCGATCACAGTGGCAGAGCTGTCTAAGGCATGAAATGTCTTCGCCTGCCTGAACACTAGGATTTGGGTTCGAATCCCACTCAAGGAACGAATATCTGTGTTTATTTTGTGTGTGTGTTAGGTAGCGGCCTCGCGACTGGCTGATCCCCCGTCCAAGGAGTCCTACCGACTGACTTAGATTAAGAAACTGAAGTGAAACGAAGCGTTTCACGGATTCCCTATGTTCCAAGTGGGAGCAAGAGGAATAGAAAAAGAAGAGACTACAATTTTTAGCTCCAGATGGAAATGCGTAACCACATATACGAGTATACGCCAGAGCAACCCACACACACAGCTCAGTCGCAATACACTGTCACCACGCAAAACATCAATAAGGAAAACATGGCACAACATGTGATATTTCTCACAGCATATTCAATGCATAAACAAATATATTTACATAGACTTTAATAACATATTTTCACGTTCAGTTACAGAATATGCAACATAGAATAGCCAGTACAATGATTACAACACACAGATACAAGGTAAGGCATCAAAATGCCATACATTCTATTCTAAACAATTTACTTCTGACTACGACCAACACCATAAGTATCAAATATATAACAGTAATGACATATATCATAATTCACAGAAGATTAATCACAAAACGTCAAAATCAAGAAAACAATAAAATCATACACTACAACATAGGCTAGAATGTTGATGATGACACCGGCTTTATTGACTGAGGGCTTCGAGCTTTTCCCCCGTTCCTACTGGCAAATCTCCGGATAGTATCTCAATTAGGCTACGACCACTTCCATCCAAATCCATTCAAATTTCATTCATATTTTTATATTATTTTAGAGAGCAAAAGTTCCACTGATGGTGGATTCTCTCTGTGTGGCTTGACAGTCGTAGGTATGTAAGAACCCGAAAAATCTGCCTGTTGCCACAGCTGTTCTGCTTTACAGTTCTTTGGAGGAATTACAGACTAGCAAGGGGACTATCCTGGATGCAGGTGGCTATTCTTTTGTGTGCCAAAGTGGAAAGCGTATCTTGCTTCTTCGCTGGCGGGGGTGTAACCTGGCATTAAAAGAAACAGTGGCATTGGTGGCCATCCTGCATAATCTACGAAAAATGAAGCCTCATAATTAGGTATTCTGTAAAAGGTAAGGTTATCTCTGTGCTAAACCAATTAAACACTAAGTCCAGAAGGCGTATGGGGGAGTGAATATATAGATCCATGTATTCTTGACCTCGGCACCAGTTAGAGGTGAGTGGTCAGCTTCACGCCTCGGCCGCATTATCCCCGAGGAAAGAGTCCCCGGTACCCATTGGACAGGAAGCTCAATGGGTCCTAGAACCGGTCTGGCCAACGTGGAGAGCAGAAAAATATTTCCCTCTGAACCTTCGGCTGTCCAGACCGTAGGCAGTCTCTATACCGACTGCGCTATCCCAGCTGCCATAGGTTTTCTGTACATATCAATATCCAGGAAGCGGAAGTGACCGTATGTTTCAATCTCCATAGTGTACTGAATTTGGTGTATGCTCTTCAGGTGGTCATGAGAAGCCTTTCAGTCTCTTCGGACAATGAGACCATATCCAGAATGCGTTTTCAACGTAACGGAACAAGCACAGGGACTTATGGGTTGCTCTGTTGAGTGGTTCCATAGAAGATAACGAAGCCTCCAGAATATCGAACCGGAGTACTGTCAGCTTGACTTCTACTCTGAATAAGCATCTGAAATCTATGTACTCTCCTAAAAATTAGAGGCCAAATTTGTAGAAGAAGGTGTGAAATTATATTTTGATGTAATGTTTAGTTCTTTGTATATCTCTACTCACCTCCCTGCGGGAAAAACCGAGAATAAATGCCCTTAAAGGTGTCCTCCCGAACGACACCGGTGGGGCACTCCGCCTTGAAGCCACGGTAGATACGTTTTAGCTCGGCTTCGGTAAACCGCGTGGCTCTGCACAGGGACTCCAGACTGTCTGGCCGATACCGCGGCGGAGTCTCTAGGTCCTCAAGCTCCGAGTCTGCAAGACGAAGAGTCATTAGCAGAGGTTCGAAATATTTCTCATATGTATATAGTTATTGTTATAAGTACATGTACGTAATAGAGTCTTCGGATATGGTTTTTACCAAAGATTATGTTCTATTCTCTTCAAGGTTTGTTGATGTTACTAACTTAAACCGAATAACTTATGGCTATTGTCGTTATACCAGAACTGAATATTCCAGACTAATCTATCAACTTTGAGTTTTCAAATAATTGTATTGATTCTTGTTGACAGTCAATGAGAACATCATTGAAATATAAATTAATAACTGGCTTGTGAATTTAACTAACTTCATGGCGCAAACTCGTTCTTGAGTATAACTGTTAGTCGCTTAACTCGTCAAGAAAATGTCAAGTCTTGTGAATTTATTCTTGACAATATCCAATAAAATACGCATACTTTATCATGTGATATGTCAAGAAGACACAATTTGCTTCTTACAGCCGTAAATTTAATCTTTACGTGTTGCATCCTGTTGTGTTGTGTACATAAAATATTTATTATTTCCGTTGAATTGTTGTGTTGAATGAAACAGTAAATAATATGTAAATTTAATGTTTTCTATATCTCACGCAGTACTATTCGGTGGTGACATACCATTGTGTTCGGCAACATTCAGCTTCATATCACTGTTTTACTTGTGAATGACATATTTAGCACATGCTATCTAATGACTACACACGAGTAATATTACGTAATGTTCTACTTGTAGGCTTCTTTTATTGCTAGTGGGTTGGGACTAAGTCCCTTGTACTGCGGCCATTTCTTGCCTATTGTACCAGTCCCAGATGATAGGCGAGGGTGATTGTGGAGCAATTGGTGGAATGAATATTGGCAGAGGAAACCGAAGCACTCGGAGAAAACCTGCCCCAGCGCCACTTTGTCCACCACAAATCCCACTTGACCAGACCCGGGATCGAACCCGGGCCGCCGCTATGGCGCGGCCCAAGGGGTGGGACTAAGTCCCTTGTACTGTGGCCACTTCTGGCCTATTGTACAATACTTGTACGCTTACTCAGTATTTTTAGGTAATTTAGTGGGGGGCTATGCTAAACTTCGAACACACGCAATGTAAAATTATAAAATCTTTTACTCTCTAACTATGCATGGATCTAGAGCACTTTGTTGGGCCTTGGCCGCTTTTCAGTTTCTTAATCCCATACACAATCGGTGGGACCATTTGGACTGGGGATCATCCCGTTGCAAGGCATATACCTATACACATAACAACATAAACACAGAATAAACCTATACAGACATCCATACCTTGAGTGGGATTCGAACCCACGACCCCAGTGTGTGAGCGGGCGAACAGCGGGCTGTTCATGCTTTAGACTGCGCGGCCACTGTGATCGGGCAAAATCTTTTATTTAAACTAGAATGATCTGAATGCTAGAAGCGGCATTCCTTTCATTACAGATGTATTAGTTATACCGACATGATTCGATCATCAGAGCCTCGTTAATTAAGATGAGTGATCGCGTTTAAGTGAATCTGGCATGAATGTAGGAGAGGCTCGTCCTAGGTTGAACCCTGTGCTTAATGAATTAAGCACTACGCCATGAAGGTGTATGGGGGAGTGGATGTATAGATTTTACATAGTAAGATCAAGTTTCTTATAACTGATTTTCATATACACCTCTCCTACGTATGTAAAACCTTTTACACCTCTAAGCTAGGTGGACTGCACTATCGAGGACCCTCCGACCACTCTATAAGTGGCAACACACAGATGTCTGAAACTATATTCAGTAGACATGCGGAGGAGTTGCCGAACCCAGTCCTCCACCATACAGCCATTACATAAAGTATAGTTCTGCTGAGATTTATCCGTTAAACTGGAAAATAGCGTGAAATTTTCCTGCATTTGAAGTAGATATGGAGATATGTCCAAAAAATATAGAATTGTTTAATATTTGAATTAATAAAAGACTTTGGGATTTTGGCACCCAAATAATATGATTGAGGTCTAATTCTTGTTTCGCGTGGGTTGAGACTTACCAATACAGTAGTTTTCCCAAAACTAAAGAAATCAATCCAAACAGGTGAGAAAGTGTTCGTTAACGAAAACGCCTTCAACGATTAAATTTAAAATTTCTTCATTTTTTAACATGCTCATTTCAATTAATTTTCATGTTCTGTACACATCTTTCATAGTTTCCGTTCGACTATACTCTGCATGCTGAACAATGTCTATGCGATGCGGCCATAGATGAATAGGTGATGACTGAGAATGTCATGAAAAATCTTAACAGTCTCCCCTTCTTATCAGGAAATGTGAGTAAGGAACTCAACTTTTTACACAACTACCAAATGCCTACAAGGTCTATAATTCCAGTAACCTTATCCACAATCTCTAAAATATAAATATTGATGAGAACATAAAAATCTGCTTATTTGACATCAGAAACATGTATACGAATATGCCCCTAATAGAAGAAATATAATAAGAACGCTCGTAACAATAACAAGCGAACACCCACAAATATAGAACATGAATTAATACCTCTATTAAATATTATCCCAGAACAACACTACTTACAAATCAATGACGAATACTATAAAAAATGATGATCAAGTAACTGGAGCTCCTACCTCAGCATCCTAGCGGAAACATTTATCCAATACTTAGAGCACATAAAGATCGCTAAAATCTTATCTGAACACCATAACATCGATTACTACAGATATGTAGATGACACAATGTTTACAAAACACACGCACCACAAACATAGATAATACCCTAACAGGCTTCAACTCAATAAACCCATAACTACAATTCACTATCGAAAAAGAAATACACAGTACACTTAAAATTACCTAGCTGTGTCCATCACGAACCACTGATACTGACCTAATCACACATAATAACTCATACCATCCATAGAAACACAAGAAATCCGCCGTAAATTACCTATTTAATCGGATGAACATATAGTCAATCATACACGAAAGTAAAGACAATGAAATATAGACTATCAGAATAATACTGAAAAATAACATTTACCATCAATAAATAGTTGAACCGAAACAAAAATAAAACTCCACCACCAAAACTCATAATCAACACAAAAAAAAGAATCACCTTAATATACACGTATTTCGGTACTGACACCAGGGTAATCACAAAATTATTCAAGAACACGGACATGAAAGTATCATCCAAAACCACCAACACAATAAAAAACCCAAATACAAAGAAACAAATAACAGACATGTATAGCCAAACGGAATTTAGCAACTAAAATGCGACGAATGCCCATTCTAACACTTTGGACAAACCGGAATAATATTTAAAGTACAATACAAGGAACATACTCAGGCCATGAAAGCAAAAAAGAAAATTCAGTATATGTCCAACACATATACTTGACATACAGCACAAACAACGATACACTAAAAATACTCCATACTTCAATATGTATTGAGAGAAAGGCCAGTTACTAAACACACTACACTCTTCCACATATATAATCTCAGTAAAGAGAAACAAATGAATGATACCTTCCCTGACACACATAACCCCTATTCGATTTAATTATGAAAACACACCCTCCACGATAGAAATATATGAAACACACCCCATAGCCCCCTCATACGCTCCCCCTTCCCCCCACCAACACAACTACTCCACAGCTATCGTTTCATCCACGTGATCTACGTAACATACCCACCAGACACTCCACCAAACTTGCTCCATGCATGTTAGTCACCTTCCAACAGTACATGACTATGCTTCCAGCACAACTGATCAGGAAAATACTTGTAATAATCAATAATACACAACAAATGGAATAAAAAAGAGAGAAATCTTCAAACTACATCATACACTTCATGCATATCCAGTTACGAAAGTAAAAAGAAATTCGTAATCACATAAAATAACAAAATTAATCACTCTGCATATTACATATAAATATATTCATAGGCATATTAAATATCAATTAATAAAATGGTCCCTATTTATTTAGAGTAAAAATTTCACAAAGGTACCGCTATTCTACACCCAAGGTATGCAATATTATTTTGAAATGATCAGTCACCGCACATATCCAACGACGTAAGAAACCATCCGCACCACACCACGTACTTACATCACTCCTAACACAAATACACAAGCACTTCTTGTATCTTATATTTTTCTGTGTTTCAGATATGTCACACCGACAAAACAACAATGTAATTATCATGACGGGCATACCAACATCAACCCATTACACGTTTCTCATCTTCTCTAATTTAATGTTTTTAATTTTCAATTGTTAGTTTTTTAATTTTAATTTGACCTATTACACATTATATAAGACAAGAGACATTCCCTAGAATTCCCTATGTATTTATAATAGATCTTATATATTCAAAGATTTAAAAAATTTGTTTTCTCCTATTTAGTTACTGACTATCGAATTAATAAATGCCAATTCTAGAAACGTGGATTGGGGAAAGGCTGCTTATATTTTGGCGATTCTGAACAAAATTGGATCCTTTAAAATCATACCGATGGTCACTGATAGGAAGACAGGCTAATCTTCTTGGTGAAGTGCGTGATTACCATCCTTTTAGAAACCCAGATCGAGGACTGAATGTAAATAAATTAGTGACACTACTTAAGCGGCCTCCGTAGTCTAGGTGTAACGTTCCCACTTCATGACTCAAGGTACGCGGGCGGCAAAATTCAGGCAACAAGTCCTCCGGGAGGGACTTTAAGCCGTGGGTCCCGTGTCTTAGATTTACGGCACGTAAAAGATCCTCGCGTCTCCAGGAGACCTCTGAGCAAAATTAGGCAAGTTTCCCGCCCAAGTAGTTTCTAATGCCTCTGATAGATGGGGGAAGTATCGAGGTACCGACGGCCGACCTCGTTGGCTGAACGGGGCTGATAGAACGCACCAGTACCGGTAGGGTATGGCGACTGGTAGAATATCAAAGGGGGACGTACAATAGACTATTAGTCGCGGTGCATGGGGAAACCCAACCCCTCTAATAATAATAATAATAATAACACTACTTAACATTCCGAAAATCTGACGTTACTAATGATTTTGTATAGCCAATTGGAGGTAATAGAAAGTTCTGTAACTGCATAAATGAGCTCACTCACTTTTACTGGTTTTGAGAATTTACTTTGCCCCTGACGTGAACAAGGGTATAAATTATAAGAGTAGGTTTGCGTTCTAAGGAGCTGGCGGCGATTTTGGTCACTCAATTGAATCGATGAGAAGAATATTTAACAATTAACTGGAAGCAGATTTTGAAAAAGAACTATGCGGGATTTGAGGTTCTCACAGCGGTAGTTATGAAGAGTTCAAACCTTCTCGGACATAACGCCATGTATTCCGTTGAAAGTCGACAATTTTTCGGAGGAATATATCCCCTCAATCTTCAGGGCCAAAGAATAAACCAGGCAAAACATCAGCGTGAAAGCAGGTGGCAAATTGGTATCTCTGCTTACCACCTGCTTTCACGCTGGTTTGTAGTTGGTTTATTCTTCGACCCTAAGAATAGAGGGGATATATTTCTCCGAAACATCTGTCGACTTTCAACAGACTACACGACGTTATATCCCAGAAGATAGAACTCTTAAGAACTGTTTTTCTCCTACTGTGTTCGTTTCGTGATAAAGTTATTCCTTCCAAAAACTGCAGCACATGCAAGGCTGACAAGAAGATAAAATTTCGCTCTAAGATTTTTTGTTTTGTTTAGAGTACTACAGAATGAAAACGGAGAAATTGTTACCTTGTTCCGCTCAATTGAAAACTGTTAGCTTTTATGAGAAATTATCAGGATAATTTTACAAAAACAAAGCCAAAGTATGCTTCATTTTGCGCAGATCAGTTTAAAAGTCTTTCAACTGCTAAAAAAATACTATCGGAATAACGAAAATAATGAAGGACAGAAAAATACAAGGACGAACCAAACAAATAAAATGAACAGAAAATACATATTTGAAAAAATTGAAAAGAAAATTAATCTTCTTCGAATTCTGCTCCATGTGCTTTTCATGTGAGTATCTCACGGTATATTCTGACGTAATATATTCCATTAATATCTGGGTCTCTTTTTTAGTTTTTTTATTGGTACTTGTCCGTCTTAGGGTCTTTCTGATAGTAAATTTATGTCTTCTCGGCTACTTTCAATAATCTGATGTCATGAAATCCATCTATGAAATCCGAAGCCAAGTGTACATAGTGACTAATGCATAAAGGCTTTTGCGAGCTATTTACATTTTTAATAGATCTTTTGAAGAATTTAGACCAATACATTTTCAAATGTAGCAGCGAGATGAACGAGGAAACTATTAGAGAATTTTTACTCCGTTCTACTGAACGAGACTATAGAGCGTTCAATGTGACAAAATTGTGTATTATTCTGATTTTTCCAAAAAAATGCAACTGTTGGTCTTTCCTTCTCACCGATTCAATTGCGTCCGTCTGCAGCCAATCAAATGACTGGGAAGAGAGAATCCCTGAAGCTCTAAGGAACAGATTCGCAACCATTCGTCCCGTAGCTAGACATGGCGACCATTGTTTTGCAATATTTTCTGTGAACAGCAGAATGTATGACAGATTAAAATAAATATGTTACCTAGCGCAAACTTGACTCCAGTCCAGGCCTGTTTTACGTAGTTTAGGACTCGCCGGTACACTGACCAGGTGACTTTACTTGCGCTGCCCTGGTGCTGCCGATGGTGTGCGTGCTTCTCCGGATGGCTGCTCACCATGCCGTACATCACGGGCTGCCACTCCGCCTCGGAGGAGGAGCCAGGACGTCCATCGTGCTTTCTCACGGTGCCCCCAATTCCGGCTGAGTATTTCAACGACGAGATTACACCAGCACCCTAGTTTGTGGCCCTTTGATATGTTACTCCACTTCTTGAAGCGTTCGTTTCGTAGCACAACCGAAATAAAAATCCGTGGGTAAACGGTACTTGTTCCTTTTTTTATTTAATGACGCTTTACCAAGTATATGCGGTATATAGGGCCGACTGTTGAAAATATGTACCGAAATTAAAAGTAAAAAGGTGAGAATAATAATGACTGGCTATGCTGGTTCTTTTATGTTTATTTACATGAGGGAATCGCTGACTAAGGTTTGTGTGTTATTGAATTTATGTTCTCTTTACACGAAAAGAGCACTATGAAATTCTGAGCTATTTTATTTAATCGTGTTAATTTCTGTAGTCATTCACGGAGCTATACAACAAACACAAGTTAATTTGAAGTTAATTTACTGCAGCAAAAGTAGACACAGTTGTTTCTGCCGTAATTACGTAAATTTTAACGTACGAACGAAAACGTAAAACTTCACAGCCAAGTATCACAATATGGTAAAAAGACGAATTATATATAATTACCTTAATTAATGAATGAACAATGGAAATCTTTTGAGACAACTTACTTGGTAAAATCAAAACAAATGGCTTAGCTCTTCAACCGAAAATATTTTAATAAAATCATTTAACAGTGCTCTATTCCGTTAATGGAAACAAAAGTTATTGATTTACTTTTATCTCAGCATCAGGTCTAACTGAATTCTGTGACTGTATGACACTTCTATTTTAAACACATTTTATCGGAATTTTAAGAGGCGTCAGTCACAGCTGCACAACGGAATATTTTTATTCGCCAAAAATGACTACAAGACTTAAGTCTTAATAATGTAGTGAAATTCAGAATATTTAGCTTCAAATTTGGTCCAAGTTGATATTTCAGAACGACATTAACTGTAGGAATGGCTGAACACTGGCGTCCGAAGAACAGACTATAAGAAGTTCGTTGAATTCGTTTGGAGATGATATGAATGGTAGAATCGCCTTATTACCTTGTCGCGCCTAAATAGGATAAAGAACCCTCGGCCTAAGATTGGGAACGGCCGAGGAATTTATAGTTAAACAATAACAGGTATATATATGATAATAATTAATGAAACATAACGATTGAAGAAAATATTAAAAAGATTTTATTTTTGAGGTGTTTGAAGGCTTATTCATTGTACTACTCCGAACAAAAGAAGATGAAGGATTTCCCTGTGAAGTTGTACACGAAGAAAACTTAGCAACGGCCTATAACAGGTTATCAAGAGGATCTGCAACGTCGTCTCTGAAGACCAGTGAAGATTGTTAGTGTGATGGGACACCTTGGCACAGATGCCTCACCATGAAGCAGATGCAGGACGTCTTCACCTGGGAAGTATACCAACAACCTTATGTAAACTCAGAGTATGGTAAAAGGTATCAACAACCTGATATATTAATAAGTAATAACTAACATACATGCTACTTCGTTAAAAAGTGTCAAGCCTGAAGTTAACAATTCTATCGTAACATATATTTCGTATACTTTCCATGTAGGGAATAAGGTTAATACATAACGGAAAAGTCACATCGCTATGGTCCATTTTCCAAACCACTTAACAAGGATTTCGGCTCAATGTGGCATAGAAGAACTACAGCAAATCTTGCTGAGAGCTAGTACAGTGACTAGGCAACGGGCTGGACGACAAGAGAATCAGGGCTTCCTTCTTCTCCCCTGTGTCCAGACTGATTATGGGGTCCGGCAAAACTCATTCAAATGGTTCCCAAGGGATCTTTCCTCCTGGAGTAAAGCGGCAGGGTAGCAAAGCTAACCAACTACCTCCATCTACAGCCGAGATTAAGTAAGCTGGGAGCCATACCTCCACGCTTTCGTATGTCTTCGCGTTGTGCTGATTAATTACGTAAGCACGCGAATAATTTTACATCTTACATTAAAATTTTGCAGGTGAAATTAATTTTGCATCGAATACGTAATATATCTGAAAATCAAATCCAATTTCATTTCCCTCAATAACGGCTCATTGTGCTTAACTAATTAAGCAATACGTCATGGAGGAGTATGGGGGGGTGGATGTATTGATTCACATTTTCTTGACCTCGGCATTAGTTGGAGGTGAGTGGTGAGCTTCACGCCCCTGCCACTTTACCCCCGGTACTCATTGTATAGGAGGATGTTTGGACGCCAGAGCCGGTCTGGACACTTTAGCTCTGGAAATGGTGAATACATATGTAGTTCCCGCTAGAACACAATATAATTGTATTAACTTGGTATCACTTAAGTATATACTATATTAATATATCAGTTTACCGAATACATTGTTAGCCAATACATTTCGGCTTTACTTTGCCATCTTCAGGATGTATACAAGTAAGTGGTTATAAAATAAAACACTTATGACCATCAAATGATTTTTATTCCTCTGCAGCCTTTGTGGGTAAACTAATAATACAAACTCCGCCGTCAACGCATTTATAATTTATTAACTTATGTTTCACTACACGTTTCGACCCTTACAGTGTCATCCTCAGGTACTGTGAGCTACACATTTTCATTATTGAATCAATATCTAGCAGTAAAAATGTAAATGTACATAGAAAGTAGTCATTTAAGGCCTATGTATGTAAATATGAATACACGCTTTATAATTCAACGAAGAAAAAGTGTAGATCACATTACCTGAGGATGACGTTATAAGGGTCGAAACATGTAGTGGAACATAAGTTAATAAATTATAGTTGCGTTGACAGTGGAGTTTATATTATCCGTTATACTCACGCAGCGGGATGCAAAAATTAAAAAAAAAATGTGGATAAAGCCCTTTTGTCTGTTCCAATTTAGAATTAATTTCCGAAACTATGGATCCTTTTCAGGAGTTCATTAGAAAGGGGGTCGATCCACTGCTAATATTTTAAATTATATACTTATATTGTGAAAGCACGTATATTCGTATATTCAAAATATGTTCAACAGAGTTCATTCTTATGTGAAGTACTTTTTTCTATATAATTGTTTAAGTGGAAATGGTGTCATAGGATTCTATGTTCTAGAGAAGACTCGTCATTTGACTCAATACGTTCGTTGCATACAACTGTCGTCCTTAGTATTTCATTTTGCGTCTTATTCATTCTTTCTATTAGGGAAAATTATGTATCGTGAGCCATACATAGGATTTGCGTCTGTAAGTAACAACACATCCATATCCTGAAATTCATTAACTTTAACTGTGAGTGCATACCGATAATAGGTATTCGCGTTTGTTTTATACCTCTGCTGTGATTTCGCTTTCTTACAGTTACGTGCCTATTTGCCTACTGAAGGATAGTGCTGTTTTATGATCTGTGGTTCGGGGTTTGATTACCTCCATACGTTCATGTGGACTATATCTCCCACTATTTAATAATAGAGTAATATTTGATCCTGCCTGCGGAACTGCCATCAATATACTGCACTGCACTTCTTGCCTACAATCAGGGTGATCTAGAGTAATACTTGATCCTGCCTGCGGAAGTGCCATCAATAGACTGCACTGCACTTCTTGCATACAGTCAGGGTGATCTAGAGTAATACTTGATCCTGACTGCGGAAGTGCCATCAACAAACTGCACTGCACTTCTTGCCTACAGTCAGGGTGATCCACACTTTCGTTTCTTCCGTAAATCTCTATGTTAAACATAGGAGATGTATCTCAACGAGATGGAGTACTAAATAATGTGCAGCTGAAGACGTTAATATATGTGTAATTTAGTGGCCTTGACAATTTCAGATCTATTAATCCTTTAAAGCACCGTGGCTACTGCCTGTATCACCTGCTTTAACATTTAAAATATTCTGTATTTTGTACACGGAATGTTTTTATTACGTATTATTTTTCGTATGATTCTCAAAATAAGCAGCAATCACTGATCTAAACTGCACCAACCAACTTGACTTTATAAAGGAGACGTAGGGTGTTCCCTCTGAGGTAGGCACTGAGTCATTAAAATATTAATTTACAATAAACTCGTGCTTAAGTGGTTTAATTGAATAATAAATAAAAGAATCTTCAAGAATAAACATGGGATTATTTCTGAATCGTATTAAACATTAACGAAATAAAATGACATGAGTAGCTAAGCGAATGTCAGTTTCTCAAGAACTCTGCTCTATGGGGGCTAACACCTAACCATCGTGTCAGGAAGGAGTGCAGCAGACACGAACACAAGTACCATATATTTTTAGCGTCACGAATAGATGAATGTAAGTAGCCAGTTGCATCTGGCAGTGGGCAATGGAACCTCGGCACCTTCTGTTCACGAGGCTAAGTGCACTCTACAGCTTTGCATGCTGTCATGGCGAGAAGCAAACTTCCAATACCCCTACCGCAATTTCAACCCTGCCCGTCGAACCTGCACTCAGCCACTTTACCGACTTAGCAATTACAGCAGGATGAACTTATCTACAAATGTTACATAAAATATTTGTGATTTGATGAGCGAAGCATGATTTTATAATTCTAGACAGAATATTTTCGACAATTCCTTAGACCAAGAAACTACTTGGAAAACCCAGGCGCAGATGGGAAAATAATATTAAAATGTATCTTAAATTAATTAGGTTCGGATTGGATTCGCATGGCTCTGGATCAATGGTCGACGGTAATGAACCTTTCGGGCTCTATTAAAGTAGAGGATATTTTATCAGCTGTGCGACCATTCACTTTGCAAGGAAGACTCGGGCAGTGGATGGGGCTGATTTCCTTGCTAGTGGCAGTAGCAGTGTTCTACAGCAACATCTGACACTGAGCATGCGCTGATGAGCACAAGGGCTCTGTGGTCTTACCACAACGTTATTTGAAGTTTGAATTAATCCCCCATCGATCGGGCGGATTCTACCCAATAAAACCACTGTGGGCTGCAATAAAATGAAACTATGATTTTGTTTCAAGTTTCTTGACCCGCTTTTCAGTTCATGATGTGGTACGTCATGCCGTTATGTTGTTCAAACATAAAAAAACACAGTGCTGACTTGCTAGGGCTGTAGCGCAATCCTTTTCTGGGTTATTTTACGAGGACTTCAGCAGCTAAACCATACAATGTAACGTAGAACGGTAGGAAGACTGGTAAAGAATGGATTGAAAAAGGATTTCGACGGAAACAGCCATGTTCTACTCAAGATGCTATATCGGTCATTTACCTGAGGGAACTGAGATGAACCAGGACAATACTTCGTGACGAGTACCAATTTCCCGGCCGAGGTTCAAACCATGCACCTCCCGAATACAAATACATAGCATTCCCGTTTTCAAATAGTTTGGTGCGCACTTCTTCATCGAATGACAGGCATGAAAAACATGCAGACCAACTCGTATAGCTTTAATATTGAAAAAAAGAAATTGGCGATAGGAATACAAGGTTTGAAAAATAAATTCCGGGACTGGGTCCATTATGCACATTTAACAGCACGTCAACAGTTTTTATCAGGTCAGAATTTTGGGAATTGAATTTTGAGCCAAAAGAGGGCGAATTTGTGCACCTTTTTTTTCTAGTGTTCTCATGATTTTTGTTAATCATAACGAGAAAATATTACATTTAATGTGTAAATACAAGTTTATTCTCATTACTATACCAACATTATTTAAAGGTGGACAAGAAATAATGGTGTGTTCATAAGACTTCAAGACAGGGAAGAGGCTAAAAAGAAACAGAATGTGCATGTTACAACTTCCTGACTTCCTGAGCAGCCTACGCCATTTAGCAAACGCGTTCATTTCCTATGGGATAAAGGAAAAAACTGGATATCTGTTGAATAATGTTGTCTAAAAGGAACAAAACCTGAACTATAGCGTGCTAAGTGAGCTTCTTCCTGGCAGACGTTTCGGAGTTTATTTTGGTCTCCATAAACAACCTTTCGTGATAAAAATAAGCTTCTTTTCTCTTTCAAGGGTCAATAAATGAGACAAAGACTGTCCCCGAAAAGTATAGACTTCATACTATATCGATTAGGAAGTACGTGTATGTCTGAAGAAAACTTCGTTGTACTCGAAGGTGTAAATTTCAGAATTTATGTAAGGCGATAAGAATTTCAGGGTTCTCTTATACAGTTCGTCAAGTTAAGGAAGTAAAGAAAATACAGGTATTGCATGTTTCGACAGAAGTACTATAATCTTCCTCTTTATTTCAGAATTTAAGGACAAATTAACACAAATAATAAGGGTCTGTTAGATCATATATTTAAAATAACTTCATTTTGTTTCATGACAGTTGTTAACTTAATGTTTCAGCTGATAAATACAGTACATTTAGGCTTATTTATGTATCTTTCATTTTAAAGTATTTATGGTACAGAACTGTAAACAAAATTCTACGTTTCTTGGAAGCTGACTAGTCCC